ATTATTGTTTATCTTTGAACCCCTGCCTCCCCTGCCACCATGTGAATTCCTTTTCTGGTTTATTTCAGTGGCTTTGATATCTTTTTCAAATTTCTGTTTGTTTAACATCATGATTTCAAATACTATCTATATACTGATGTAATCAGACCATTATATCTAAATTTCTCCTTATTTCCATTTGGCAAATTAATAGGCACCTCAAAATTAACAGAACTGAATTTCTTATCTCCTCCCATTCCTGACCTTCTCCTTTGTCATTTTGTTTCATCTTTCCCATTTCAATAAATGGCAACTTCATTCTTGAGACTGTTCATGCCAAAAATCTTACGTCACCTGGACTGGCCAATTTTCTCACACCCTCAACTAAATTTCCATCAAATCCTGTGTGTCATCTTGTCTGGATATACCCAGATACTTACCCCTCCACTGCTTGCACTTTCTCTTAAGTCAAAATTGTCTCTTATGTAGACTAATATAATAGGTTCCTAGATGGTTCCCCTTACTCCCCAACAACCTATTTTCAAAATAGAAGCCAAAGTGTTTCTTTAAAAATTTAAGTCAGGGGGGCTGGGGTTGTGGCTCAGTTGTAGAGCACTCGTCTGTCTTGTGTGAGGCACTGGGTTCGATCCTCAGCACCACATAAAAAATAAATAAATAAAATAAAGATATTATGTCCATCTACAACTAAAAAAATATTTTAATAAAAAATTTAAGTCAGGGAGTTGGGGATGTAGCTCAGTGATAGAGCATGTACTAAAAGTCAAACTGTAACCTCCTAAAGGCATCCACTCTCGCCCAGTAAAAATCCTCATAATGGCCTGTTGGTCTCAACACAGTTTGGCATCCTGTTACCTTTCTGACCTCATTTCCTACTTTTACCCTTCTGCTCTCTATACTGGTCACTCTGGCCTTTCTGTTCTTAGAATGCAGGAGGTATCTCCTGCTGTAGGACAATTCTGCATTTGCTATTGTTCTCCCTGAATGCTCTTTTTCCCCAACAAGGTATTTTTTTTGTTCCTTCACTTCCTTTTTGTGAGTAAGCTTCCCTTCTCAATAGGGTCCCCCTGATGAATTTAACCCCAAACCTCATTAATTACCTTCCTATTTGTGCCTGTTTCATTTTTTCCTGCAACACTTATTCTAGCTGTCATATATTTTATTCATTACTTTCAAAAATATTTCCTTGATGAGATCAGGGACTTTTCCCTGCTTTGCTAAAGGTTTGGCACATAGTTTGTACACAATATTTTTGAGAGTATGAATGGTGTTTGCAATGCACTTATATTCTGTACTTCCTTTTTAAATTAGCATTAGCTTCATCAGAGTTGGGCATGCTTCCCCAAGGAAGGTGAGACTGACAATAGAAACACTGTCCATTCACACAGACTAATAAGGCATCTTACTGTCTCTCAAAGGGGGACCAAAGCAGAGTAGGAATTCTGTAGGCTCAGGTTCACTGGACAAAGAATTTTTCCTCAGTGTCTGTTTCCTTACCTGTCCAAAGACTTCATGAATCCACCCTCTCCACACACTCCCTCACCCTGCCATGGGGGACTGAACCCCAAAGTGCTTTACCACTGAGCCACATTCCCCAGCCTTTTTAAATTTTTATTTTGATACACTGTCTCACTAAATTGCTTAGGGCTTCCCTCAATTGTTGAGGCTGGCCTCAAACTTGCAATCCTCCTGTCTCAGATTTCCCTGTCACTGTTGCCATCTGGTCAGTTCTCCTGTCTCAGCCTCCCTTACAGTATTTTTTAAAATATTTTTATTTTTTAAGTTGGAGTTGGACACAATACTTTTAGTTTATTTATTTTTATGTGGTGCTGAGGATCGAACCCAGGGCCTTAATACTTGCTAGGCGAGTGCTCTACCGCTGAGCCACAACCCCAGCCCCAAACAGTATTTTTGAGAATATAAAATAAAAGATGAAGTGTTGAGTAGGAAAGGATGTGTCCCATTAATTTCTCTATTACATACAAAGGTATTCCTACCTAGCCTTTTTATATTTATTAAAAGCAAAAAGCAGACCTGTAATTAAACCCAGGGTTCTTTTAGGGAATGTAAAAGATGCACTTTTGTTGTGTGGAGCTTTATACAGACAGCGAAAGCTTTTGATGTCAGCCTATTCTTTCTTAAGAAAAGTCACTCTTAAGCGTGATTTTTTCCCCCCAATATCCTTTCCAAAGCAGTGAACTGTCAGGCCCCACAGGTGCCTAGCTCCCATGGCAATTTTCTTTCTTTCTCCCTTGTGTATATGTGTGGTTGGTGAGCCTTCCCTCAGCCCATATGTAACAAAGCCTTGATTTTCTCACTTGTAAAATGGGGTGAATAACAATTGGCTCACGTGATCTTGATGCATTCAAAGACATATTAATAATTTACAGAAAGCAGTAGAATATAATGCCTAGCAAAGAAAAGGCCTTCATAAATGCTTTATCTAAGTGAGGGTACATAGTCAACTTTGAGGGGAAGATCACTTTCTAATACAGTTCTTTGGATTGGGGGTTTAGCTCAGTGTTAAGAGTAGTTGCCTAGCAGTCAGGAGGCACTGGGTTAGATTCCTAGTGGTTCAAACAAAACAAAACACAACAAAAACCTATTCCTTACCAATGTTACTAACCCTAGTCAAGGATATAAACCAGTACTATCAAGTATGGATTTCTCTACTTGGTTTCCAAATCTTTTCCATTCTATTCAAAAGCAAGGTCTTAAAGAGATAAGGGTATGCCCATGTTCACAACAGCATTATTCATAAAAGCAAAAAGGTGAAAGCAGGGCTGAGGTTGTGGCTCAGTGGTAGACATAGCATTGCATGAAGCACTGGGTTCGGTCCCTAGCACCACATAAAAATAAATACACCGGGGATGGACCCAGGGTAATTAAACCCAGGGTTCTTTTACGGAATGTAACCAAATCTCCCACCCCTTTTAAAAAAAATATTCATTTTTTAGTTTTAGGTGGACACAATATCTTTATTTTACATTTATGTGGTGCTGAGGATCGAACCCAGTGCCTCCTCCATGCTAGGCCAGCACTCTACCACTGAGCCACAACCCCAGCCCTCCCCGACCCTTTTTTACTTTGATACACTCTTGCTATGTTGCCAAGGATGGACTTGAACTTTCAATCCTCCTGCCTCAGACTCCTGAGTTGCTGGGATTACAGGTGTGTGCCACCACAACTAGCCTACAGGGATAATCTTGAGGACATGATGCTATGTGAAATGAGCCAGTCACAAAAAGACCAACACTATATTATTACACTTTCATGAAGTACCTAGAGAGGTTAAATTCACAACACTGTAGAATAGTGGTTATCAGGGCTGAGGATAGACAGGCAACAGAAGATTGTTGTTTAATAATTTTGAAGCCGGTTTTGCAAGACGAAAAGAATGCTGGTGATTGGCTGCGCAACAATGTAAACTTATTTAATGCTACTGAACTATATGAAAAGTGATTAGGATGGTAAACTTTGTTAGGTGTATAAAAAAAACAAACAATTATTTCCCATTCTACTTATCAAACCTTACTTTGCATCACCCCTTTTCCCCCCTTCTCCCCATTTCAGATAGACTACACATTAGTTATACTCCCACATACCAACCAATTCCTCTTTAGCCTTCACTCATGGTGTTTCTTCTCTGGAATGTTCTTTCATTCTCACCTAACCATATTTAAAAAAATTACTTGTGTTTCGTTCCTTTCTAAATTCAACCAGGAACTGTATCCTGTTTTTCTTACTCTTTCAAACCACAGTTCTCTTAACTTTTCTGCACAAGACCCACACCTAGCATTGTTTTAACTTAGCCCCTCCGATCAGGACTCCTATATCTCTGGGGACCAGAAGGCATTATCTCAAGTTTCTCCGGTACCATTCTCCCAACCCATTCACACGCCAGCAGCATGGAGCTCGGCACCAAGGAGGTTCCAGAAGAATCCCGTGCATTGAACATCATTCTTAAGAGTGATTTTCACGAAGCAAAAACTTTCAAAGTCAAATTACCGGCGAGCACAGAAGCTTCACAAGGCAGAACCGTGGGGTCCTTCAGGATCCTTGAAGGCAGCCCTATAATTTGCATAGCTTTCCACCCTCCAGCTCTCTCCCACATTTCATCGGGGGGGAAAGCGCCAGGAAGGGCAGAAGCGGCATTTTTTAGGCCGTCGTATAAAGAAAAAAAGCCTTTTTGAGGTTGACTCAAGAGTCCCCGAAGCCTCCACGGGGGCGGCTCTGCTCCTAAAACAGCAAAGAACTGTTCAAAAGTTATGCTTCCGGGATGAGCGTCCGCGCCACCTCGGGAAAGCGACGCTCTGCCTCGCTACGGGCAGTCACAGGGCACAATTTTCTTCATGAAAGTCGCCCGATGGGGATGGGGCGCCCCTAACCCAGAAGTGAAACACTGTTTCCTCAGGTATTAGACCCCCCTCCCCCAGCCAAAGGAAGTTCCGGCCGGACGACTTTAATCTACGCTCTCTTGACTCCTCTCTAGCTCTTCCTATCACTCTCCTTGCTTTCTGGTGTGTGTTGCTTAGGTCCGTCCTTTTATCTTGCCCGAGTTTTGCCGCAACTCTCCAAGCTGACTACTACACGCTGGCTACCCTTTCCTTAACCTTTACCCTACGGGTCCCCATTAGCGTCAACTAACGTTTTCCGTGGAGGCAAACCTCCCGAGGTTGCCAGCTCCCGAAGCTCAACGCAGCCAGGCCGGCGCCTGCGCGGGGCGTTACCATAGAGAGGCAGCCACCTCTCTGGTCTCGATTTACACTCTCTATGGTCCAGCCCGGTCGGTGGCGGTAAAGGGAAAAAGAGAGACTGCACTGCGCAGGCGCTGTGGGCTTCTCTCGCTCCTTTTTTTTTTTTTTTTTTTTTTT